CATTTGAATAACAGTAAAACCACAGTATGCCTACCCCTCTGAATGGTGATCCAAAGGATACCGCCTCCTCCTCTTCCTCCTCCACTGCCAGGTACACCTCCGCAGGTCCTGCTGGAGTCTTCAGGTTGGGGAAAGTCCAAGTCTTGGAGCGAGGCGAAAACATGTTCCCTCCATGTGCCTCTTTGTCTGCAGATGGAACAAATAAAGATGAGTTTGTGTTTCTTGTGCCGAGGATTTTCTCCCCCGTGGGTTATTACTGAAGTGAATTTAAGAGCACAAGTACTTGTCGAAATTCCCAACATGAGGAAGGTTAAAACTGTTTAAGTGTTAGGCTAAAATGGTTACAACAAAAGGGAATAAATGTGTTTTGTAACCATGCTACTGGAGCTTCATGGCTTTGCAGAGAAAAGGTTTGACCCAAAGTGAACCAGCTAAACATTTAAGAGGGATGTTGGTGGTTTCTGGAGGATAAAAGTTGTTCTATTCTTTAATACTGTTTCCTTTATAATTCTATATTTCTTAGTGTCCTCTTTATGCTTTTATTTACACTCATACCATCATAAAACACATGAACGTAGGGCTGGGAATCGGCGTAACAGATCCCACTTAAGTAACACTGTCCAACAACCTGACCTCTTCCATCTGTTATTGTTATGTCTAAGTGGGGCGGAGTGTTGACACCTTCGCGGATGACGCCGGCTGAGCCTCTTCCCTCCAACACGGACCCGTACTGAATGGTGGGAATCAGCTGCTTGTGTGGAGCGTAGCAGTCCTCCTGTGATGTCAGCTCTCTGTCCAGGGTGCGAGCTCGCCGTCCGGCTCTCCCTGGGGAGCCGCCGCCGGAGTGGTGCTCGGCTCCGCCCTTCGTCTTAGACAGGCCCCGTGCAGCTACACCGCTACTGCAGTCGGGCAGAGGGAACGTACCAATGCCGCTGTCCAGGGTGTAGGTGGAAGCACCGGAGCCTGTGGAGGAAAAACACGGGGGAGGAAGATTCAGCAAATCTGAATTAATGAACTGCTTGTGTAATTTGAGAATTTAGAAGAAGAAAAAAATAAAAAACGTCACAAAGCAAATGTGTAAATTGGTGGCGTCCTCATTTATTTGATCTTTTACTGCAGCCTCAGAATGAGCTCCCCTCAGGGGTGTGCCCTGTTTGTTCACCTTTGATATGCTAACAAAGGTGTGAGGCAGTTTATTTCCCCTCAGTGTTTCAGTCACGCCCTCATGGAGCATCGCTGATTCTCAGTGACTGAACGTGTGATCATTTACGCAAATAATACCGCAAAAATACTGAAAGTCCACAAGGAAAAGTGTGTAATTATTATCTACAAAACACATGCTTAAATTATAAAAAATAAAAGTACTCAGTGAAAAGTACAGATATTAAATGATTGTGGATAAATACATTATCTACTGTGGTTTAGAGAGACACCTATTTCACAGAGATACTAAAGTTGATCGTAAAATGATACGTCTAATCGCCATATTTCCTCAATGCAATCATCAGCTGCCCTATCCTGTCCTCAGAGAAGGAGAAAGCAACAAACACAGTCCATTTACTGTGAATGTGAAGCCCGGATGACACGAAAAGATAAACAAAATGAATTGACCGTTGAAAGGTGCTAGTTCAAATTCTTTTATTTTGAAAGTCTCTGGACGTCCAGGAGACTACTGTGTTATATCCTTCAGCTGGTGTAGAGGATCCACATTCACCTCTAATGGGACAATATTTATAATATTTAAAATGTATAATATCTAATATTATATAAGCTCTAATACTATTGCATAACATCGAAATGTGTTCAGCAAAGTTTGGTAAAATGTTCCAATCTGAGGAAGGTCTCGTAGGATCACAGTAGC